GTCCGTATTGATTTGAGCGGTCGAGCGAATCCTTTTATTAAAAGGGAAAATGGATCCGGCTACGATTCTGATTATCCCGTGGATAACAAGCAGACAGTCGCGGTAATCTCCGTCGAGTGCATGCAACAAATGGATAAAAAAAAAAAAGGAACGAAGCGAGATATATGCGATAGATGGGCGAAACAAAACACGCAATTAAATTTGTCCTATGGCAAATCATATTTCTGTACATTGCACATTTAATTAATATTAGCGGCAATGTCAAATGAGAGGGGGGGGGGACGAGGGGGAAAACTCAACAGAGTTATATATGACGCTGTTAATTAAGCATAACTGCAGAGATGCGCTCTGCGTAAACGTGGGAAAGGGCTGAGACTCTTTGTTTGGCAGGCGATGAAAAATAAAATGTTTTTTTTTTTAAATTGACGTAATAATTCGTTTTCTCTTCCATTTAAAATCTTTTAAACGTAACTTGGATTACTCCGTTGCGTCTATTTTAAAAATCTGTCGGCTAAATGATCGCGAAAAAAAAAAGAACCGACTGGGAAGGAAAAGCCAAAAACTCTGTTATACCTCGTTTTTCATAATAACGAATTAATGATTCGGATCACATTGTGTGCATTTCGCGAGCGCGCGTAATTTGAAGTGGCTCATAAAAAAGGGGGGAAGGAAAAAGAAATTCAACGAAACATTCGGTTCCCATCGAAAACTCTCAAGCACTGCACGCCACACCCTTCTAAGCTCCGTAACACTAAGCCCCGTAATACCTTCTAACCCTTTTAACTCCCTAATCCTGGAAGCGAAGGGATCTTCGAGACCTCATCGTGACGAAAATCATTAATGCAAATTTATTTAATCAGCTGCTTGCCGCTCCACGTAACGTATATACGTAAGACATTATATATCGTAGAGCACATTGTTTACACGAACATCGCGGCGGATTTGTAACTTAAATGATTATTTAAAGTACGGTATAATAAGACGTGGATATAAAAGTCTTTATTGCGAAACTGCTTAAAAATGCATGTTACGGTTTGCGGGGTCAGAACGTTGGCCGATCCACGCGCGCGTAATCGTTTTGCTTATTCCCTTATAGAACTTGCTTTAATCTTGGCGAAGTTTTGGTTTAATCTTCGTTTCAACATAAATCCTCGATTTGGGGTGGTATGGCTTACCGTGGGATTAATGTTTTCGAGTAGGCTGAAGGAACTTAAGACATTGTAATTGAATGTTTTAACGAAAGCAAGTACGGGGGAGGAGGTCGGATCGAAGTTTGACCCCCGTATAATATTAGTCGTCCAAGTTGGCTCTTAGCGCGCAGTCAACGTGTAAATGGAATTCATTCGAGGCACCGTCCGATTTCTCTATCCGTAAATAAGATACGAGGCGTTAGATAATTTTAGTTCAATCTGATCTTAAGCTTGCCACTGTCAAGTGTGCGCGTCGAAACGAATTTCAAGCGTAGACGAATAAGAAAGTACAAACGCTATTGGTATTAGTTGTACATTATTGCATTATAGGGAACTTACCCCTTGGCCAAAACTCAGTTAGCGTTCGCCGCTTTTAGAAATCCGTTAGTCTCCCTCGAACAGGAAATGATCATTCAGTAATTGTTGCCGGATCTGTTTGTCTAATGCTCCGAGCGTGTAATAGGTCCCTTTGACGCTGGTCCTTTAACGAGATTAAAGTTTCCTGTACCTGGAGGTACAGGATAATCGTGTTATAAAAGCTATCTTGCAGCTTCACTCTTACGGCAGCTTTAATTCTCCTTCGCCATGCCGCTAAGCGATACAAAACTAATTGCAGAAATCATTTTCTTGGGATAAATCGCGCGCGCGCGCTCTCTCTACCACTGGCGGATTTAGTGCTTCAGAAGCCCTAAGTGCAACGACCTCCTTTGCTTTTGTCTAATAGCTTTATATCAGTTCGACGGACAGAATAGAGTTCTGTCGAGCACAAGAGAATTTTATTTACAAGTTCTTATAGAACGGTGAGATTTCTTCTTTTTGCCGAACGCTCTCCTTTATTAGAAATTACAAAATTTGAAAAGATATATGATTATGTACTCTGGCACAACGATTTGATAAACAACCAAAAAGCTCAGAGAATCCGTTTAAGCCGCTCGTAAATCTACCGTTGTCTTCTATTGTATAGCTTGCGCGATAGTGAATTTCGCTCGTGGCAAAATTGAATGGATAACCCTCGATCGACTTTACGCAACGAATCCACATCAAGGCTACGTGTTCTCCTCAGGGATAAAGATTACTCAGTTTTTCTGGCTCGTCCCAATCCAGGTCGGAATGAACATCATCAGTCCTAAAACCAGCGTAATACCTCCTCGAGCCAACAGAGGATTCAACAATCCGGTGAAGACGTCATAGGCCTCGGGATCAGGCGTGTATATACCCGCGATAGAATCAGGATTCACCGGGGCAAGTCGAATCACGTCTATCAGGGTTAAGCCCCAAGTGGCTGCGCGTATCTTTAGCTCGTCGAGTGAAATCTTCATCAGATATATATTTTTTTAACAAGAAATCACCTTTCTTTGAGACTGAAATTAAATACGTGGTGCAATATAAAAAGATTTTGTCAATATTTTCAACATTAAAAAAAAAGACATTTGATTAAAAAACGTGATCTTTTTCTAATTCTTTATTTCAAGATTTATCTCTTAAAGGATTTGTCTTTTAATATATATATATATATATATATATATATATATATATATATATCGCTAACGTTGAAAAAAATTCAGATTGTCTCCGACGAAGTGCCAAGTCTTTTTTATTATTTATCGACTGCTATCGTATTTCGATAAATTAAAGAGTATTAATGTTCTCCCATCGGCTTGTTTTAGAACGTGCGCACTATTAATAAAATGGAATTGGGATTTATAAATGCAGTCGTATGCATGTTTTATATACAAAGTACGTCAAATATTCTAAATGTCGTGCATTTATCGTTACCTTTTATGTAATAAATTTGCCACATTCAATGAAAAATTCCTTAATTTTTCTAGAAGTTTTTGATTTAAATACAGCTATGTATACATCTCTTTTAGTATTCATAATAATTTAACATTAGATAGTATATTGAACGAGTGCAAAATGGAGAATATTTTATTTTATTCTATCTTTTATTAATTATTTGTATAAACTTCATAAAAGTGTCTTCCAGTTTTTTCAGTTTGTCATCGTCTGCTCTAACGGAGCTTGCCTTTTTTCGGCACGACCACTTGTCGCACTCTTTTTTTAAACCTCTTTTATTCGCTCTCTCTCTCTCTCTCTCTCTCTCTCTCTCTCTCTCTCCTATCTCCACGTAATCGTAATCTTTTTTCACACACACTAGTCTTTCTCTATCCTATTTCCCATCGTCTATCTTGGATAATTTTCTCGTCTCCTCGCTCTGATTTCTACGCCCGCGCTCGAGATGCATCTCACTCACAACGTTGGATTTTAATTACATATTTTTTCACGTACTTCTCATTCTCCTACCCCTCGTATTTTCTTTCCCTTCTTCTTTTGCACATGCGATATCCGTGGTCCAGTTAGGAGAAAGGAAAAAAAAACACGAAATTTCGACTGAAAATGAAAATAGTATAGCAGTATTTTATGCAAGAAAAAACTGTTTGTCTACTCTGAACAAAATAACAAATATAATAAAACATCCGAAATAATGTAAGATAAATTTTTATCAATTTCTAGAATCTAGAAATAAATCTTATTTTGATTAAACATATTAAATATTTTATTTTGATGTCAAAATATTTAAATTTATAAAGACTCGCAATATTTTGCTCGCTGTAATAATAACAGTGACAATTGATAGACATATCTGGTACAACAAACGTTATGGAAAAAATGATTTAATAAAATAATACGTTATTTTTATCATTTCATTCGATGTTTACTCGCAATACTTATGCTTTATTCTATTATTACTTGTATTATCCAGAATTAATCTCGTTGTTTATGTCTGTATTTGTACTACATAATCGGTTTCATAAACAAGAATATTTATTTGATTCGTCTAACACGTTAAAAAAAATCAAAATAGTATTATCGCTACGATTCAATTAATATCTTATCCTCTTACTTTAATTTCGCATTTAATTATATAAGTAACTTTTGAATATATTAAAAATATAAGTATTAATAATTCATTGCTACATTAATTTCAATTCAGGCGCGATATTTGTCTACATTCTGTGTTATTAAATATTTCCGCGTAAATTCAATTTTGACGCAATCAAAGCAGTAGGAAGCTGAATGGATAATGCTCCTCCATCTAACACCGAGCTTTTATAACTCAATAATGCATTCCGAGTTACAATACACGCAGGCAAATGCCGCGGGTTATAAATTATGTCAGGAAACTTCGGCGCGGGAAGAATATCGGTGGCGCACGCAAAACTAAACAAACCTTTCACGAGGATCCTAATGACACGTAACGAACGCGACTGACACGAACTATGCTCGAACTTCAAAACGCGATGAGGGGAGGGTATGTGGCTCTCATGTAAATACTGAAGAGGTAGGGAGAAATGCAAGAAAGTGGAACGATATTACCCAATGGTGAATGAGTATGAAAATTAATTATACTGAGGTGCGTCAAGTTGTTAATCGATGCTCGATAGGTTCGTCGCATGATGGCGCATAAAATATGGAAGGCCGAATTCTTGTGGTTTATTTTTTATAAGGAAAAAAAAAAGGAAATATCGTTAATTAGTAATTTAATGTACAAATTTGTTTGAACACAAATTCCATTTTTATCTCCAAATTGCTGAATATACTAATTTAATGTCAAATTAACAATTTTCTAATATCTTTATTTTTTTTTAATAGAATTAGAGATACTACTACTTATTTTTTAAAAGTAGTTTAGCACAACAATTATTTTTCGAGTGCATACATTCTTGGCGCCTTTTTTTTACATCTTTCTTCCTTACGAAAGAATATCGAACTGTATGATTGTTTGCTTGTTTGACCAACGTCACAGCAATTCGCCTATTTACCGTTGTTTGTCGATCGATCGCGATGCGTGCCGCCGTCTCCTGTCAAACATTCGTTTGAACGGTAGTTTCGCCGCGTTTCCCCCCCCGAGCATCGACGCGGTATCGTGCGATCTCGACAAATTATTCGGTAGTTATCGCCCTCCCCATCATGGACGACACCAGACTGTACAAGTACTATCGAACGTCCGGATACGGTTTGAATTCGCTGGTCAGAAATGCGGATCGATTAGGTTATCCTGGTCGAGGACTTCAATTTTTCACGAACTTGTGTTGTGCTTCTCGTTTCAGATATACCGATTTCTCATCGCCGATTATAATCTTCGACGGTTCTTCAATTTAAGTGCTCATTGCGGAACGGTGACTTTTGTTACGCTCATCTTCGTAGTAATTATGGCTGTCTGTTCGATAGCAGTGAGTTTAGTACAGAACAATTTTAATTGGAGAGAGAACGGATAAGTTTTACTTTTTTGGTGTGCATGTAGTAATTATTGTATTTTATTAGATATACAATTTATCAGATAATTAACGAAGGGTTTAGATTACATTAGCCACATTTGAAAAACTTGTCTGTTAATTAACTTTCATAATAGCAAGCATGAAAGGTTCTATGAACATTTCGTTTGGCGGAGAAAATTCAAGTGAGCTTATTATTCTGGCAATTAATTTGCATATGATACCGTATGACTCGATACAATAATTAAAACGCCATGACAATACGAGTACACGATTCTATAATTAATTGTTTGCTTTAAATCCAACGTAATAATATTATTTCAACGTGTAATTAATCAAGGAACACAATAAACGATCGAAGTCGCGGAATTATCGATATATTCCCCGTCGTATCGCGTGGTTGGGTTTTGAATAGATAATACTCCTCTTGTTTTATATATATACATATATATCGTATAACAAAAGAAAACAAGTCACGTATCTTTCGAAAACCTTGCCAGTGCCGAACTCTCTTGCCGGCTTAAAGAAAATGTAAACAACTTTGCGGGGCAATCGCTTGAATACTGATGTATCCGCGCACGTGCCACGTTGTAACAAATATAATTCTTATACACACGAAAAAGTATACCATATTCGCCTCCAATTTTGATGAAGGGAATTTTAACTACCCACGCAATAACGTTTGCTTTAACCTTTATCGAAGTAATGACGTTCGGGAGCTACAAAATTTCGAATTTGAAATTAATTTGCAAATATAAAAGTTTTTATTTATTTTTACATCCGCTATTTTTACATCTATTAAGTTTACTTATTTATAAAACATATTAGAAATCGCGCGATAATTTGGTAACAATTTGTAATCATTTGTAACAAGACCACCAAACAATGTTAGGAAATCAAAAGTGAATACAAAATTTAATGAAACAAAAATTTAATTTACTATATTAACTGCTTCAAATACTTAAATTTTTATTCTGCTGCCAGAGTTTAAATATGGTGACGTTGAACGATACACTGTTTCGTGAATTGTTCGAGAAAGCGGAGGAGGTAAGGCTGGAGTGATATTAAACCACACATATAAAATACCAATGTTGATTGCCAATAATTTGTAGAAATTACCGCGAATGGAAAGCGTCGTTAGCGTCATACCTCCGTACAAATGTATTCACAAGCACGTGAGTTTATTAAAAAATTTTTTTAAGTGCACGGTTAATACTTTGTGTCACGCTATCTAATAATTTTCGATCTCCAGTTACAGCGGATGAGCGTGTTTCAAGAGAAAACAAAGAAAATGGTGGGTGGTATCGATAATCCACTCGGATTTTGCTCGCTTACTCTCGCTAATTAAATATTTTAATTTCTGACTTTCCGGATTTCGGTTGTAACAGCTATGCAAGGAGCAACTGGAACTGGAAATAATGAACAGCAAAATGTCGTGCATCGAGAAGCTATTGAAGCCCGAGGTAAATTATTTGTCGCCCATAAATGGGACGCATCGCGCGGTCGGATCGTTACTCGAGTAAATATTAAAAAAAAAAACCCTCGTTCCAAACTTGAGCGCTATCCACGCACGTATCCTTTGTCGCGCTTTTTAATTCAGTACTGTTGATAAAAATAATCGATCCATATACAGTCCGCTCACATCCCCATTCAGAATTTACGCGCGATCGTCGACCTTAAGTGATTTAATAACCCGCGCGGAGGTCGCGCGGAGATATGAATATACGATGGAACCTTCGCGGGGGAAGGAACTCGTACAAAGGATCAGCGGATGAGCCGGTGCGCCGATCGCCAGCCTCGCGCTTTTAATTAAAATTTCGTCGCCGTCGAAGAACGAGAGATTTAATAAAAACGCATTCGCGCGATTTTCCGCGTATACGCGCGGCGATATTGTTACGATAGAAAGGAGTATCTCTTTCGCCACACACGCGGAACGACCTATAAACTCTGAATTACCAAAGGTCGTATAAACGTATCATGGCCTCTACGACTTTCGGTCGTTGCGTCGGGCACATTAGATCAGTCTCGGTATATCCGGCAAGCAGTCGCGCTCGATTGGCAGACATAAAATTAGATTCGACCCTATCTCAGACCTTTCTGCGGCTATCCGACTTTATATTGCACGACAGGACATTTTTACTCATTTTTCTAACTTTTTTCTGAAACACGAATTTCGTGAGTTCGATGCTTGTCTTTAATTAACCGTGTCATACTACATATTTCTTGACGGTGGTATAGAGTTGATACTCGACGTTAGACACAAACTTCTGAATTAGTGAATCATAGAGGGTATATCATCATTAATGATCGCGGTGTATCGCGCACGAAAATTACTGAATGTTAGATTCATTAGATAACTATTTTTATCACCGAAAGTGATAATTTATTCCGTTCGATGGCGATAATCATTGAAACTTTCGAATCGTTGCAATTGTGATAATTCAGGGACTTTCCGCTTTTACAGCTTTGTTTCTTTTCAATCAATATGTGACGAATATTTCCCACGATACGTGCATCATTACACTGCGTGAATTAATTTATTTGCTCTCTAATAAAATTATTAGGTATTATTGTTAATAAAATTATTGACATATAATAGCAGTTGTATTTTGTATTAATTGAATATCGTCATATTGAAAATTTGTTGATAGCAACTATATCCGATTATTATGCTAATAATGTATCTATTATACAAACACATTATGTATAATTCTGTACTAATAATAATTTCTCTAGGAACAATCCGAGTGGCGTCGTAGCAGATCACCAAAGGTGTACCATCGCCCTATCAACGTGGAAGCGTCGAAGTAAATAGGCATGGAAAAAGAAGACACGTACATAATATAAAATCTGAAATGAAACTTTATTCGCAATTTTATAATTAATGATGTTTTCATTACTGATGTGCAACTGATATAAACGTAATAACTTTTGTCTCTCACATAGATAAACAAGTAATATAAATCTCTTATATCTCTGGCATTCAGTGAACCAATAACACACATTTGCATATATTCCCGTAAATCGTAATTTAATTGTAAACATTTACGACTCTCCGCGTGATTTGACAGACGTCCCAAAATTATATTACAACTATTAAGTCCGTGAGTTCGCTGTATTTCTGGATACAGAGCACAAATGTGTAACGGTATATATATACAGTATGCACATTAAATATGAATCGATATAAAACTTAGTGAATTATAACCGCGTTCGATAAAAGTATTTTGAAAACATTTGGCCCACGTAGCGAAAAAAACCACGGCGAACAATGGTTTCGTCATCGAAGTATCGCTGTTCTCCGCGTCCCCTGTTCAAACACGCGTAATTTTCCGTTATGATCACATGCAAAGCAGTATAAATCATGACCTATTAAATGGACTGTGTCGCGCGTACGAGCGCAAGGTTTTTCTGACAAAATTTTTGCGCTGAAATAGGCGACGGCGACGCGCGCGGGATGCCGAAACTCTAGTACGTGCCGAAACTCGGTGGAAAAAAAAATGTGACGATCTTTTTTGCGGTCGACCACATGTGAACGACGAGTGCTGTTGCGTTTTGTAAAAAGTAAACGCCATAACGTCGCTTACGTTACCTTTCCATGCTCCGATATTCAATCGTTTCGGACCGTGTTATTTTAGAGCGTGTTCACGTAGAGTTATTAAAGGCGATCGCTCAGGATGTTTTGCTCTTCTTTTTCAGTGCACACTCCGCTGAACGTATAGTTATATATGGAGCTACTCAATTCGATTACTCTAGGTTTGTAATATGCAAAAGTCGAATCGGTAATACATTACGATCTGTGTCAGTATGTTGAGAAGTTGTCAATTAAAAGTCGATTAAGTTGAACCACTTTCTGCCCAGAAATACCAAATTCACAATGCCGCTGAAAATTCTATCGGACGAATTTTCCCGATCGCCATGTCAATGGTAATAATAGAGTAATCGGACCTTATTCTCACGTAAAATGAAAAATGTTAGTCTCATATTTAAAATGAACTTGTCCAACATCAAATTAATCAAATAATCCTTAAAATCGAGAAGTTACTCGGTATATATATAGGTAATACGCGTTATGTAACAACAAGAGGTATTGTGAGCGCAATACTATTGTCTCGAGACAATAACCATTGAAGTTTAACACTATTATCCAACTCGGAAATAAGAAAAGACAATTTAGCATGATTACAATCTACCGAACTTTAACGTCTATTATCTTAAGACGATCACGTGTGCTTGCGCTACACGTGTTCGTTACACAACACTGTACCTGCGTTAAACGTATCATTAACGTAATTACTAATAACTTCAGCCACAAAAAAAATCCGCGTTTGCAGAAAAACAGAAAGAAATCGGGGACAAGAACATTACGTCCGATTGTATGTATAAATATAAACAAAATTCGCGTTTTCTTTCACTATAAAGTTATTCAATTAATAATAAATTAATCTAATGTCTAGACAGGGAAAGTTTCGTGAAATATACTTTACTATAAATTTTAAAAGTCTTGAGAGAAGCAGAGAGAAAGTAAGAATAGAGCGAACTATTTTTATCCTTCTAAATTTACGGTAAGAAATAATATTATCTTCTAAAATAATATCTTACGCTACTCGACCTACATTTCGTTTATAAATCTCGATTTCTATTCTCGATTAAACTTGACTCACCCCCGGTGCCGACCGATCCTCCTCGCGCGACCGTCCCTCTCCTCTTCTCGCCCGAGCTTACGGATGTCGCCAGTAGTGCCGGTCCGGACTGTCGCGGCGCGGCGAGTCTGGCCCCACGACCGTCTGTTTCCACTTTCGATCCCCCGCCAGCCGGCGGGGTTGGAGAGTCGACTGGCTCAGGAATTGAACCCGTGGCTACGGGCTACGTGGCGTATGTACGAGAACAGGGTCTTTGCTCCCGTTTAATATTTTAGCCAGTCCATTGGCTGCTGCCGCTCGAGGCATCGACATGCGCGCTCTGGCTTTCGGCCCGCGCTTCGCTCCGTTCCGCTCGGCACGGCACGGCACGGTACGACACGATACTGCACGGCACGGGAACAGAGGCACGGCACACCGTGCAGCCGTTCGCACGCCTCGTTACGTCAGGTCGGACCCTCTCAGCTCCGGGGGTGCAATCTAACGAATGCGCTACGCGGCATCCGATATCGATATATGGGGGGATGAGACGGATCGATTCGCGCCGCGCGCGCGGCGCTCGGCCTGTTTATTCGGCCATCGATCCCGCAGCTATCGAACCGCAGCGGCCGCTTACGGTTCGGGAAGTGTTGCATTCCGACTGATTCGCGAGAACGAGCTCCGAAAGGACCTCGTTATAAACAGCGAATCGTTACCGTATCGTTAAACTCGGATTTCCCCGGCCTTCCCGCCGCCGCTCCCGGTGTATGTAAAATCGAAAGATAAAAAGGGAACTGCTGGAAACAATTGGAGTCTAAAGAAATAGAGCATCTTATGCAGGAGCTTTAATCTCAATATCGATTATACCACTTTTTTTCTTTTTCCATTGTTCATTTGTTTAGATTACGGATTAATCTAATTGTTTTTTTTTTTTCAATAAGACGCAAAGTAATTCTCTTACGGGAATTAAACGTACTCAGTACTTTGATAACATCGAAAATCTTGATACGTTGGAGAACAGTGAAACGGTTCGATATTTTAAACTTATGATATATGGAGCCACATTCGATGCTTGTGGGAACTAACGCGAGGGAATATTTCATGTTTGCTCGATGTAACATTGATGAATGGATAATATTCGCGAAGTTCAGAACCGGCCTTAAAGCTAATTCTTCCGTGCGAAATATCCCGTAAGCCCGCGCACCACCGTGTTAACATCACAAAAGAGATAATTGTCGATTTCAAGAGAAATGCGCAACGGTATACGGTAAACCACGGTAAACTACGGTTTGCTTACTTCAAATATTTGCGATATCACATGCGTCTGTCTTAGATACGCGGCAAAAAATATTGACAATTTTTCTTGTGTTTGACTTGAAAATTCACTGGGAGAAGCGCGCGGCTCCCGCACTCTCCTACATCTACCATCTTCGCTCTGCTACGATCCTCGGATTTTTAAACCTCGTGAAATGGCAACCCTAGTGTTGACGTTGGAGAATCGGGTATAGAGTAGCTTCTATATCTCCCCGTACACTACGTGGTCACTGAACCGTGCGGAGAATTTTTAAAGTGGAAGAAACCTTACAGCGACTATTGCTGGCATATAGCATAGACGTCTAAAAGCATAACTCGCATGCCTCCTGCATGTTGTAAAGCCGCGTGTCTATATAATTAAGTTTAGTATAGCGGAGATATATAGCATTGTGACGTAGAGAGTCGAAGTTGGTTGGCAGCGGGATTTAACGGATTTAATAAACCTGGTATTTAATAACGACGAACATATTAAATCTGGAATACACAATTTTGAGAGTAAATTCAGAAATTTCTCTCTCGTACGTGAGAGATTAAAATTGATAGCGATTGGTATGGAGGATTGATCGATGTTTGTGCTTCTAATACGCGATTCGGCTTGGCTTCTTTTGTCGCCCGTCCGGGCTATAGTCAACAAAGCCGTATACGTGCTGATTGGCATTTTGTGCCGACTGGCATAGATCGATTGACACGTATTCAGTAACGGGCATTGTCCAATGAGCTTGTTGATCGGTAAAGCCGATTATAGTGAGGGGGTGTAGAAGGCGCCTTAAAGCAGAAGCAGTCTCGCAAATTATGTGAAAATAAGTTTATTATATAGAGGAGAATGCAGCGTCGGGCGTAACGATGACTAGATTATTAAAAAGTATAAGTTATTAATATCAGTGCCGCGATTGCATACGTGCTATCATTTTTCATCCGTGGCATGATTAAGATTAACGCAATTTGTAGAAAGTATAAATGATTTAAAAATATTTAACGCTCTTCAGGATTTGTTTGAATTTGTGTTTAATATTTTATATTACTAAATGTTGGTTCACCGCAGTGCAAATGCGGTCGAGAGTTGCGCAAATTACTAGCGATTATAAATTTTATAAGAGGGCCTTTGCGCGGCCTTTCGTAAATTGACGTGTATCTACCAATACTTCGCAATTCCAGAAGTGGTAATACAATTTGGGAATGACTTCGGTTGTAGACGGAATTACACGAAAACCCCATTTATTCTACGTGTCGATAAGCCTTTGAGAAATCGATCGTACCGCAGCAGGCAGGTTGTTTATGCAAGTGTCGGTTACGTTACCACGCCGATAGCCTCGTTTGGCAAGTGTCTCGCGTCGCCATGCTTTACCGCGAAATAACCCAATAGCTCTGACACGTATCTCTGTAACGCTCGAACTTCGGAAATTTCGGACACGCGGCCGACAATGATTTCACGTTTATGGACGTGGTTTTCGCACTCGGCCCATAAAGACTTTGCCTCACCATATAGTCGAGATCAAACTGACCGAAATCAACAGATACTACGTTTAGTTAATATTTCACTAATCTAACACAGAAAAGGAAGAAATCGGAAATTAGATAAATAAGATACATCGTTTGTTCTATTTTTTGTTAAACATACACTTATTTACAAGTTACTTAATTACACCTATATAATTATACAGCAAAAGTACGTTTTTCCTCAAGTTAAAAATTTAACTAGATCATGTAAAAATAATTTTCTTGGACGCTTAAGCATAATAATAGTGCTACAAAAAATTTTGACATTCTATCAACCAGTTTGAGTGTTCTACATAATTATTTTGATTTTGATGGTCCGAAAATTATTTTTAAAATTATTGTCAGATCTGTATCTAACTTCCGACTAAATGTCAAAGATGACAAAAACCGTTATTCCGTACTCGTATATAGAAAGATAGATTGAAAAGGATTATTTTGTTTTCGCGATGGAGTGAATATTTCGGGATTTCCAAGCCCCCGTTCCATAATTGATTACTCTTCAAAACAATTACAATCTCGCATATGTCCCAAAGCAAAGTTTTATGAATAAAAGAAAGCGATTTCTCATTGGGTTAGTAGGCGGT